GGTCATGTTCGTTAGTAGAGGCGTTCGTATCCCGAGATACCACTGTATTTTGTGCTATTTGCACATTCAAATGAACTAAAGATAAGTACCATTGATACCACTGATGTAAAAATAAAAAATGCACGGCAAATCTATTGAAGACCCATTCAAACTGTTATACTTAATATTTTTTGTTATAATTTGGTGATACAATACACACCTAAAGTTAATTGCATTGCACACAGCATGTCAAAAAAATCTTACAGTGCTTTTCCATCCAACTAGCCTTCTTACCAAATAACTGGGCAATACTTATGAACAATTTACTAAGCATTCTTAGCACTCTGATAAGCTGCCAATAGCAAATGGTAATCAGCCTATATATACTTCTTCCCCCTCCCCCCAAGCCTTTTTAAGGTGCTCTTCATGACAGGCAGAAATTTGATGGCCTCATTTTTGTGAATGCATAATGGATGACACATAAATATATTAAAATAAATAAACAATGCCACAAAAATTACATTTGCTCACAAATTCTCAATCTGTTTCATCATGCTCTCTCTCCACACTCAGAGAGCTGTAGCTGAGTGCAGTTGCTTGGGTGGCTAACTTGAGGAATAACACAAGCAGAAAGATTTGGTTTAGTTTCTTATATACAGCCAAATTGATGCAATTTGCTTAGGTGGAGCAAGATTGTGCTGCAGTCACACCTGTGTTCATCCTGCTTGTTCTACGGCATCACCTCCCAAGACAACTAATAGGCAGTTGAGAACCAGTGCTTTAACAGACTCAAAGGATCTTTATTTAAAATAAACTCCTTAAAGAAGTGCTCAACAGCACAACATAATTGTATGAAATGGGACAAAATAACTTTCCCACATTATTAAAGACACTTATAAAAGTATGTAATTGTGCTGGAAGCTCCAAAAATTACTGGGCTTAGTAATTATTATTACTAATGCACTGCAACTAAGATCTTGCATGTATCCTCTTTCCCAAGAGGAGGATTCTGGCTGAGGTTCAAACCAGCCTTTGTGTCTAAGCAGAACATACAACTGTTTATCTCTCTACAACCTTCCCTGGGTTCCTGCTTGCCACCCAATATTCAGTGCTACTCAACATACACAGTTCTCAGTGGACTAGCTTTTTGGGGTGGGAGTCAGGGAGGGCCCCCCCCTTTTTTAAGAATATTTGCACATCTGTAAATCACAGTCCCTCCAAGTATGTGAATTATTTCCTATTGTTTCTCATTGGTCCCATTCTTGTTACAGTCCTCTCAACACTTACTACCCTAGTTTCCCATTAGGACATATTATGTTGCACTACTTTGTTTACAAAAAAATGTAACATTACCAAATGCATAGTCTATTCCCTTCTGCTACAGAAAATGGGCACAATATTTCCATGTTTTCAAAATAGCCCATATATTTATTTACAGTATTAACAAATATAAAAGGAATGCTACATGAGCAAAAACTTTTATGTGCAGATCCTAACAAACTGCAGGAGTAAGTTAAGAAGTGAACAATGCACTTCTGATTCAGACTTACAGTACTTCACAAAATCCTTCTGAAAATCTTTTCTGGTATTGACGAAGGCTCTTCCTCTCTCAGTTCCCACCACAAACACATCTGTTTCATACACAGCAATGCAGGCAACTTCTGCCTTAGACTTGGCAAGCTCTTTGCACTATGGAAGTAAAAGGCTGCTGTTTAGAACTGCAGTAGCAAGAACGAAATTTAAAAATAAAAATGTATTACATCCTCCTTTTCTCATTTTTTTATCCCTGGCACTCCTTTATTTTTCAAAACCCGAGGCTACAGCCTGTCCTGCAAAGAGGAAAATCCTTTAACTGAAAAACACAAAGAACAAAAAACACAAAAACTGGGAATTGTACAAACAACATGAAAGTATTCCAGCAATAAAAGAATGTGATAAACTTATCCACACTAGTATCTTAAGTGCTAGGTCAGATTTACACAGCATTCCTCTTCATTCAATTTTATTGTTTTCTTAACATCAATAATAGGGTAGAAAATATTGGAATTACTTAATTAGCATATATTATAATAATATTTTATAGACATTAACAATGGCAGTTCTTGAACTGAAATTTGAATATTAAATTTAGTCACTTCCAGTTATGACAAGTGTCATTAGAAATCCAAGTACAATTTCTAAGGGCTTTCACTTAATCAGTGGTGCAGACTGATAATCTACAAACCACTGATGATGAAGGAGCCTAATCACATGCTGTACCTTAGCAAAAGTCACATGCAACACAATGGGAAGCGTTCTAGAAGAACCAAACTCCTTTTCAAACATTAGACAAGCAGTGTTTGACCATCACTGATCACATGAGGGTCCTGAAAGGAATTGATTATTCATTCACATGCCCACATAGCAGAGACAGCATGACTTGAAGGTTTACTGAGTAAACCTCCCAAATCTTATATCTTCACTGCCAAAATTGCAGAGATTATGAAAGCATACCAATAAAAAGGATGTAAAAAAGTGACTGTCATTCAAGGTGTCAAGGAGGATGAGAACAGAAGCATTTTTCTTTTAACTGCTTCTTGTAGTTGAAAATTATTGATTTTCAAATCGCATCCAGTTGGAATGAAAAAGGTTCTAAACAGGAAAAGCCAAATACTGTTGGTTTCTCTACTGCGTTAACTGAGTAGCTCTGCTTCCTACTTGTCCCTCTGCTATAGTCTGATGCAATGTAAGGAAACAATGGTCTAGACTGTCAATTATACCTTCTCTTTTTTTGCAAATGAACTGATAGTTAAAGAGAAACAGATGAACATGCATAGAAGTCCCTGGAGATGTAAGCCCTGTGGGAAAAAGTCACAGTACAGCAGGCACATATTAATTACGTCTTACCATTGATTCAAGGGCTGACATGAGAAAAGTAACCACCATTCTGCTCTCAGATGAGTCCTCATCATGGCTGGATGCTGCTGCCATCGCTGCTTGAGCCATTTTTGCTACAAATGTAGAAAAAAGTATGCTATGAATCAAAATTATACCTGACATAGGGGAAAATTATTTACCCTCTTGTGTAGCATGGAAGACAAAGAAAATCACAAAGAATGGGACATTAACCTATAAACATCAAATTAATTGGATATAAATCCTTCAAAAGATTAACCTTTTTCTGTGTTTTCAGAAATGTTGGATACGCTGGCATGGTGGTTGATGGCTGAGGATTGGCTGGGTCTTCTATTCCTGTGAATGGGGAGGGTGATGGAGAGGAAAGTGGAGTTGTGGAAAGAGTAACTTTCTTAAAGAACTCACTAAGTTTAGTTGGCATGGTTTTTTTTCTTTTTTCTTCATATACGTCATAACACTTTTAAGATTTCATGCATTTCCCAATATACCTTTCCAAAATGTTCTATATTTGGATTCATACTTTCTAATTCTGATAAAATGTTGTTAACATCCAGGAAAACACTTTAAGTTTTAGTTATTTCCTCTTCCTCCTCCTCCTCTTCTACAATCCTTCGTGCTTCCAATTCTTCTTTCAGTTCAATTAAAATTTCATTTGAAAGCTCTCCCTCACCATAGGCATCACTAAGCAATGTAGCATCAGCCTCTATATCAAGGGATTTCATGAGTGTCAAAATTTTCTTACTTAATTCGCCCAAATTTTCATTTAGGTCAAATCCTTCAAAATTATTTACAAGAACAGCAAAACATTTTAAACACTTTTTCCAAATCCCTTGCAAGCATTTCACACTAACGTCCTGCCATGCTGCTGCAACATTTCTCATATAGTGGAGGACACTGTAGTCTTTCCAAAACTTGTGCAATGTTACCCTATCATCCTCTGTTGTGACTATGGTTTTGGAAAACACTGCATGTAAATAGTATGCCTTGAATATTGAGATAGCTCCCTGGTCCATAGGTTGTAGGTGTTGGCCTCGCGGGGTAAACCAGATAGGAATCTACCTTTACATCTGGGTAGATGCAGGGGATGTCCAGGTGCATTGTCGAGGAGCAGGAGAATTTTAAAAGGAATTCCCTTTTTCCAAGCAATATTCCTTTACTTGTATGAAGCAATTCATAAACCAATCCTCAAAGAGGACTAGCATCACCCAAGGCTTCCAATTAGATCCGCAATAAATGGGCAGCGTGTGCTTGCTTTTGAACACATGTAGGTTATCTGATTTGTGGATCCTTCCACAAATTGTTACTGATTTGTTACTCTATCCTTAAGTGCTTTACATCAGAGCATTGCTTTGGCCTCTTTGCATACGTAGCTCCACTCTGGCATTTTTTTCCAGTATAACCCAGTTTCATCCACATTGAATATCTGTTCAGGCAAACAGTTCCCTTCTGCTATGGTATCATCAAGTTCATCCAGAAAACATTTGGCAGCTTCTTCATCAGTGCCTGCAGCTTCACCTCTTGTGTGTGTGTTGTGGTAATCAGATCTTGGCTGAAACCGCATAAACCAGCTATGGCTGGCAGTGAATGTTTCAGTGCACTCCTCACCTGCTTGTTCCTTCAGTGTTTCAAAAATGCTGCATGCCTTAGCCTGAATGATAAGATAGCCAATCGGCATCCTCTTTTGTATCTGATCTTCGATCCAAAGTATAAGTAGTTTTTTATTTTGTGGATGAGGTCTTTCTGTTGTCTTGTTATAACTGTTTTTATTCCTGTGATCCTTTTATCGCCTCTCTGATCCTTTCCTTATTCATCAAAATAGTGAAGATGGTGGAATGGGCCAGGCCTTCTTCTCATGCTACAATATTCATCTTCTTCCCGACATCATACACTTTGATGATCTTCAGCTTTATATCAAGACTTTTTGTCCTCTCTTCTTCTATTTTAGATGAGAGCCAATGTGATGCAGTGGTTAAAGTGCTGGTCTAAGACTGGGGAGACCTAGGCTCAAGTCCACCATCAGCCATGAAAATTCACTCTCTCAGATCAACTTAGCTCACAGGGTTGCTGCTGTGGGGATAAAATGAAAGGAGGTCCCCACGTAAACTACCTTGAGCTCTTGAAGGAAAGTCAGGATATCATTCTAGTAAGTAAACAAAATTAGGGCTTGCACATTACTTTGGATTCCATTCAAAGTACTTCAGAACATGAAGCAGCACAAATATAGTACCTGCCTGTGACTCATTAATGTACCTATGTTATTTTTCAGGAAGCAAATAGAGTTGGTTTAATGAATTGCAGACAAGATACTACATTCCCATTCATTCTGAACCAGTTTTCCAGATCAAACCCAAAGTGTTGCATAATCCTCATTACCCATATTCAAAGCAATAAAAGTTAAAATCTATTTTTTTCTATAAAATTCTAAGATTATAATCATGAAAACTTTTAAGTCTCTCACCAATAAAAAGCAGAATTATTTGTCCTCTCCCATTCACAAACGCATTATCAATATATACTGATACCCCCACCCACATACTACTTTGAGAAACACTCCCATACCTTATTTTCAAAAGCTAATGAAAGTCCAATTTGTGTTCATACCTATTCTCTGTATTATAAGAATTCTGCACAAATAAAATTGATCCTGAAATAGAAAAATGTGTATCTGAAAAGTTATATTTCCTATGCAAGACAAGTTTGAGGAGTACTGTTCTGGAAGACTTATGACTTTTCCAGACTGGGGGGAGGGGTTAGACCAGGGCTCTCCAAAGTGATCAATATCAACCCCCAAGGGTTGATGGGACTATCCAAGGGGTCAACATTATTTGTAGCACTACTAAACTAGTATTTATTATATTATTTTCATATAATAAATGTTTTGGGGCCGATGAACAATCTGACACTTCATGAAAGAGTCAATGAGCTGAAGCGTTTTGGGTCCCTGGGTTAGACAATGTAATTCTTAATGTGAAGTGCTAGCCCATACAGTGCAAATAACAGTATATCACTGCAAAAATAAACAGCCTTACTGCCACTCTGTTGACATAACAACATTGTTTGAAAATAAATATACCTCCCTATTCTATTACATTTACTTCTTAATTCCATGCATCATTATTCAGATATCCCACTTAATTTAATTATCTTTACTAGCAAAAACCTATGGCTAGATTGCAGCCACTGAACATTATGAGATTTGTATTTAGGTAAATATGCATAGGATTGCTCCTTTGATGCTAAGCATCTCTAACGTTAGAAAGTGAAAAGCCTTTCCAGTTGGGATAGATTATAAATAAATTCTGCTTCCCATTTTTGTGGGATGATTTAAAAAAAAAAGTATCCATTTGAAGGCTTCAATATTTACAAAGGATGTTTCAAAAACAGACATATATTTGGAGGGAAAAGACTTACTAAATAGCTCAGACAACATCAAGAATCAATATGGTGTAGAGTTTATGGTTTGAATTGGGATTACAGAGGCCCAGGTTCAAGTTCCTACTGGACCTAAGAGTGGGAATGGAAGTCTAGAATGTGTGCTGCCTTGAGCTCCCAGAGGAAAGATGTGATGTACATATGTACAAGACATATCTGCGGGGACTCCCAGGTCTTGTAAATTCACAGTACTGCATACTAGGTCCTCTAACAGTAGCCCAGCATCTATCCAAAACACTTAAATGAACAGAAGGTAAAATTAGTCTTTCCCAACCACTCAAACTGAATATTAAGTAAAATGTGCTCCTCTAAGAAAGGCTCAAAAAAGGGAAGTGAGGAGTATAATTTGAATCTCATGTAAGGACTTAGTAACTAATGCCCTTAGGACCTTGAAACCTCAGGCATTTTCTTGCCAAGACTGGCCTAACAATTAACATTATTAAGGTTGGAAATATAACTGATTTTGCTCTAACACCTTTGTATAAGGAAGGACCTCTGTGAAGAGGAATCCATTTAAGCTATCTCAATAGCCTCTAAACATGCTTAAAATAAAAAAGCGTTACAAATTAGTGTGTTTTTTTAAAAAAAGAACAGGCAATTTGATGTTTAATACAGTCTGGAAAATGTTAGGTTTGGCTCAAGATGACTTATACTAAAATATTTGTTAGGACGCTAAGGTTCTTTCAGATGACAAACTCATGTATCTTTTAAACACTCCTTTAAAAAAAATACATCCTGCAAGTGCAACAAATAAATACCTTATATAACAAAACATACTAAATACTAAAATACAACTAGTATTTTGATTAGACAGAGATCTGGGCAGCTCCCACCTCAGTGGTGTTCCAGAAGGCCTTAAAGACCTCGCTGTTCTCCCAAGGCCTTAGTGTAGGGTGGATGGAACCTCCTTATTCCAAGGATGGAATATCCTTGCCACATGTGTTTGGATATTAGTTGTCTGGATTGCCATTTTATTTCTGTGTCTTTCTTTTATTCTATTTGTATTGTTTTTACATTCTGAGCCACCAAAGTTGGCTTGGATTTGGGCAGCACTAAAATCAAATAAAATAAAATAAATGGAATACATGGTCTTGGAAACACCTTTCCAAGGCTATGATAAATGTCTTATCTTTTGCTCCAATTAAAACAGAAATCAATTGAAAAGTATGCAACATACCTTGATGAAAAGAAACATATTTTACATATCTAGCCCAAGGATTTTTTGTCTCTGTGTGTGTGTGCGTGCCTTCGAGTAAGTTTTTGACTCCTGGTGACTGCCTGCAGTATTCTTGGCAAGGTTTGTTGGAAGTGGTTTGCCACTGCCTC